GTCTTAACTTGCGTTTTTCTTTTCCCTGCTCCTACGCTGTTCTGTGTACTCCGTACTACTACTGGGTATTTACGTTGTACTACAGGCCGGCCTGGTGCTGAAAATAATCATCATCTCGCTCTCTCCCCTCTCCCCTACAGCGAGAGATTTTAACCTTTCCCCCCCTTTCTTTTTTTTGTGGCTCGAGCTCCGGTGTTACGCTGTACTGTACTGTACTGCGTAGACCCATCCACCGCCCTTCCAGCCCTTAAAAAACCCCCCCCCCCCATTTATCGACCCATTCCATCCTCCCCGATATCTGCTGCGTACGTCGTCTCGGGGGTGATTGTCACCAATAGATCTCCCTCCGTTCCATGTCGCTGCTGCTTTGGGGTTCAGAGGGACGCCATCTTCTCCCCCTAACTGGTCAATCATCGGCGAGAAAAATAGGGATTGACCATGTCTGCCCGTCCGCCTCCACTGGGCGCTTCCGCCATTCAGAATCACCACAGCCATTTATCGTCCACGCCCTCTTCCTCTCATTCGACTCTGCTTCAACAACGCCAGAAAACTCCTCCCCAAGCTCTCCCTCTCCAGACCGTTCCTGCGAACGGGCAATCCGTAGCTGTTTCTTCCCCCACCCGCAGGAAGCCTCTCCCGGGCGTCCCCGCCTCTGCTTCTTCCCTGGATGCAAAGCCTCTTCCTCCCATTAATAGCAATAACTCTAAAAGCCCAGAAGCATCATCGTCGCCAGCGTCTTCTTCTAGCTTCGTGATTAGGGATCTTGATCGGTTCGTTGAACGGCTTTCTTTTATTTCTTGTTTTATTCCTCTAGATTTCTCCCCCAGAGCCGATCCTCTTCCCCATTGGCTTTGTTCCTGCAACCTTATTTTAAATACGAACGGCTAACCTTCTTGCCCTTGTCCTTGAACCTTTAGATTCCCTCACGGCCAACCCCTTGTTTTCTCTCCCAAGGCAATCGACCAACAAAGAGAAGTCTATTTCGGATCCGCGAATGGAAGGAATTTGGAACAATCCGTTCATTCTCGCCTGGTCAGCGAACCCCTAATTCCTCTCGCGTCTCCCACCCTCTCGCAGGGCTCAAACAAAGCCGCAGACCACAAACGCTCTGTCACTATGGCTCTACATCCTCGAACGAACAGACCACCACCGCTACGAGCCGATTCAGTAAAGACAATGCCCAGTCCCAGCGAATTTAAGAACCAGCCAAAGACTCCAGGAAATAAAATCACTTCATTTTTCGGCTGGAAGTCAGCGTCTTCCCCTGGAGCAGAATCGAGTAGCACCGAGATCTCTGACTCGGGCCACTCAAACCTTCCATCCCCAATCAATGGCTCAGCCCTGCCAACTTCCTTCTCGTCACGTTACCCTTCTCACGATTCGTATGGTGCTCCCGCCCCCAGAATGCCTGATCGATCGTTCTCCATTGCAGAGCAAGACATGAACGCGAAATTGAAGGAAATGGAACATGAGTTGCGCGAGATCAGTTCAGAATTGGCTGGCTCTATCAAACGTGAAATGGAATTGGAAGATTTGGTTGAGAGATTACAGCTGGAAGCTACAGTTGGGCCTGAGCCGAACCGTCGGACTAGCGATTACTTCTCCGATTCGGGAACGAGCTCCGTAAAATATCCGCTCAGCGACGCTGGCGGCAACAGCAGAGCGGAAGAATTCGAGAGAATGAAACGAAACCTGGAGCAAGAACGTGCTCAGTTAAAAGTTGATTTATCTCAAAGGTGGCAGGAAGAGCGATCTCGTCGCGTCGCCTTTGAGTCTCATGTTCGGATACTGGAGGGGCAGGTAGAGCAGGTATGATATCACAATAAACAGGATTCACAAGCTAACTGTATTTCTTCAACTGACTATCCCTGATTCTAGCTACGTCGTGAGAGAGTGGACGCCTCGAATATAAGCGCAAAAACGAAAGAATTAGAGGCCGCATTAGAAGATACTCGACGGCGGTTGACGGAAGAACGACAGCTAAAGGACAACTTCGAGGATCTATTGACGGCTATGAGAGTCGAACTCGAGCAGCTTCGAAATGAACGGGACCAACTCCGAAATGAAACTGTTCCGCAGCTTCAAGCCAAATTACAGCATGATTTGCAAGGATTGCGCAACGAGAATGTTATGTTAAGTCAAGCGAGGAAAATACAGCTAGACATGCAGCAGCAACAAGTCCGAATAAACTCGATTGCCGAAGAGGATGGAATGTCTATGGGTAAAGGTAGTCTGTCAAGATCTAATTCGCTTGCACGAGGCCTACCAAGACCAAGTGGCCTAGGTCGCTCAGGGTCCGTCTCAAGACCGGGATCCCGACCAGCCTCCATTATTGGCAAGGAGCGTGAATTTAAAGAATCATTGGTAGATCGGATGAAAGACGTAGAGATGCAACGTGATGCCCTCCACCAGACTGTCAGGAGTCTCCTTGAGCGTCAGAACGTACAAACTCGAGAAAACGAGAAGCGGATCCGGATGCTGGAGATTGAGCTCGAACGTGCCCGACAATCAGGTTCCCCACGAAGATTAGGCTATGAACGGGATGTTATAAATTTGCGGGAGGAAATTAATCTTCTTAGGCGCCGGGCTGATGAGGCGCTGGAGCAAAAATGGCAGTGTGAGAAGGGATTGGCCGGATTGAAAATGGACCTGGACCGTGCTGAGCAGGAGACCGGTTCCCTCCGCGCGCTACTGCAGGAACACGATATCCTTGTCCCCGCCGCAGCTAAAAGCGACTTGGCAGACTTCAATACATCAAGCTCTTCGCTTGAAGATGCCTTCACGCAACTGCAAGCAGACAGCGCTTATGTCCAGGACCCCGACAATGGCCTCGGACTACAAGTTCTCCAGCAACTAGCCACGAACAAGGCATTGAAACAGCGTCTCTCAGAGGCAATTGACAAGGGAGAACGCGAACAAAATAACTCAGCAACCAGAATCAACGAATTGCAAACCCGCCTCAAGTTCCTCGAGGATGCCCTTATGGCCGCGCAGCATGCCTCCGAGGAGGAAGTTGCTAAACACGAGCGGGAAATCGAGGCGCTGAAAGAAACCCACAACGCCCAGCTCATGCGCGCGAAGAATGGTAGTAGAAGCCCCGCCTTACTCTCCCCAAGGATGCCCAAATCACCCTTCTCCGGACCCCGGTCTCCACGGCTTGGCCAAACAACAAGTGGTGAGGGAATTTCCCTTAACCAGGCTATTAAGATGGAGGCTGTAGAAGCACGCGTCCAGGAGCTTGAGAAGGCCCTGCGCGAAGCTGATCGGGAGATGGAAACTGTTGTTGGTCGTATGAATATGGCACAGATTGAGGTTGCTGAGTTGCAATCTGACAGGTATGCACCTTTTCTTTTCTTTCTATGCACTCTTCCCCCTTCAGCATATATTTTCCAACCGGATATACTAACGTTGTTCCCCCCCTTTCAGAGACGAAGCAATCCGCCAGACCCGCAAGCTACAAGCCCAAATCCAAGCTGAGCGTGAAAAGTGCCAGAAGGGAATTCTTCAATGAAAGAATAACACCAAATAAAGTATATAGGAACGAAAAGGTCCTGCCGATTCAACGACGCCTTTCCGAAATAAACGTTCTCTCACGCGATAAACTATTTTTCCCTACGTGCATGATGGTATATACACGTATTTAATATATTAATCATAAACCCCTGCTCCGCCTGCTACCAACTAAGGAAACAGAAGATATTATAGACATTAACATCTTGCATACGCATCCCATACACACATATACGCATGCGCATGCACATCTTGCAACCTATACATGCCGTTCAACTACCGTTGGAATTTTTCAGCTCCTTGTTTTCTTGTTTTCCATTTTACCTTGTTTCGATTATCAGTCACCAATAGGAATTTCCCCCTCCTTTCTAGGAGGGGGCCGCCATTTGTTTTTCTTCACTTCCATCTCTTGCCCTTATATTCTTGCTTGCATATCAGCCCAGGCGTCAAATTCTTTCAATAATTTACCTCTTTTACATTCCATTCGTTTTTGGCGCGAGAATACCCCACGAGTTTATTTGTTTATTTTTACTTTACTTTACTTTTATTTTATTTTTTCTGTCTTCAGCAAAAGAATAGCACCATCGCACACTGCATACATTTTCACATTCTTTTTATATTAAGGGATAAAAAGGCTCTTTCATACCAAGAAAGATTAGTTATGTTGTTTGGCATATTTTCTTTTGGTCATCTTTTTTGCACCACTTATTAGCTCTTCTTTCACCCTTTGTTATAACGAATTTCAAGATTCGCCTCCATGCAGTGTTTCCCTTTTTTCACCTGTGGATGAATTTCCTTTTCAAAAAATCTGTCAATCTACTCTCTGCATATTTGGCTGAGGTATCTTTGGGTTTCGTGTGTCGTCTTATTCTTTGCTTTATCACTGGATTTGAGGGTTGGTTGTACTGTTATATTATATTTGCCTTTCATCGTGACGTCGGAGACTCGAGATGGTGCCTTCTTCTCTTTCCCGTTTTCTCGCCTCAGAGATGAAACGTGCGGTGGAACGGCATGGCTGATTGAATATATGTATAAACTTACTTTTCCTTTACCAAGTTTTTGCTTTCTTGAGCGTTTTGTCTCTTCGTTTCATCTGTCTTAGCGGCCCCTTTGCTTTGCTCTTTTTTTTTTTTTTTTTTTTTTTTTTTGTCTACTTTTCAGCCAAATTCTGTATAGTATTTTTCTCTTCTCTTTTATTTATTTTGTTTCGTGCTCTATATATGTATACCGCTGCTGGTTGAAGTTTGAATTGTCAATGTATGTTAGATTTGTTTTATGCTTTTCCTAGCTGGAGCAGGCGTTGTCCTATCAGTAGTGCGGCTCCTGTTTGAGATGGCCGTTTTTATTTGAAAAGCGGTAAAGAAAAGGTAATTAATCCGAATCAACCTAATACCTTCTCAATCTACCCTCTTGTTTGCCCAAGGCAGGCAAAAATAAAGAAAACGAAAAAATGAATTTCAAAAAAAAAAAAAAAAAAAGAAAAAGAGATCCGACACCAGCAGGATTCGAACCTGCGCTCCCGAAGGAAATGCCTAAACTAGAAAGTTATTTCTTCCTCTGCAATTTGGATAAATAGCAGGGCATCGCGTTAACCACTCCGCCATAGTGCCTTTGGTTGGATGGAAGGGTGAACCGGTTTGCCAATTTGTTTGGGTACATGGAGACTTGGGGTTCGAATTCGATTGTTCTAGACTCAAATTTTATTTTATTTTATTTATTTTATTTTTCTTTATTTTTCTTTATTTTTCTTTATTTTTTTCCCCCCAGCTTCTTTTCACTTGAAAACAATTCACACTCTTTTCTGTTAGCTTTTTGATAGATATATCGCAGACCGCGAGTTTTCCAACAATTATTATTCTCTTCCTGAGTTCCGGGGGTGTCTTATCAGATCCGTTCCTGCCCATTGGCCGCCCCATGCCATGGGTCAGGCGTCCAATAGAGTTTATCTGATGGCGCTAGTGCAGGAACCAGCCTCAATATAGCAAGGGACTGGACTGGGAGGAACGGACGGCATGATACGCAGAGTGAGGATGGACTGTACTTTTTGCTGGTTGATGATATTGAATAATCCCTTGAGCGAGGGATTACCACTTTCTTCCTTCCCTCTGTCTTAATAATGAATCGGCGATGAGGGTGGGAAGTTGAGTGGGTCGGCCATTAGTTAGCATAGTCCTGCGTATGTTCCCCTCTCCTCCGCCTTTCTCGCTTGATGCATAATACGACCGCCGGCCCAAGAACTCTTTGCGGAAGATATTAATCCCATGTCAGCTATTTTTATTTGCTATTATTAGTCTCTTTGCGAACTAACCAGAATGCATGTGGGGAAACTGACCAATTTTTCTTTCTTTCTTTTCTTTCTGTGTTTTTTTTTTTTTTTTTTTTTTTCTTTCCGTGCCGCCCCGGGCTATTTTCTTATCTGATCTTACCCGTCCTTCCGGTTTATCTGATCTGGTCTTTCGATCTTCTCCATCCTTCGACGACGGTCACAAACGGCGAGGGAAGAAGCGAGGGGTCTTTTTATTTCTTATTTTTTATTTTTTCCCTTTTTCCTTCATCTTCTTTGAAATTTCATATGGAGAGATAGACGTTGGGTTTGTGTGTATGTCCCGCTAAAACACTCATTCCTCACTTCTACAGCTTTTTTTGCATGGATATATTTATCTCCCTTTCTATCCCTTTCCAACACCCCCTGAAAACCGCTATGATTCCTTAATATGATGCTCTTCAGCCTACTGCACCGCTCATAATTTTACCGGAATCTTTGCGATTAGGAGAAGCGTCTGCAGCTAGACTACCCCTGCAAAACTACAAATCTATCACATATGCGGGAGTAATAGGGGAATAGACGGAATCATGCACCCACAACGATTCCTCACCCCTCTCCTCATATTCTTGGCATCTGGGTTCTCGCTGGCTTCAGAGATAGAGTCTACTCGCTGCATCCTTTCCATTGCCGAAGCCGTATCCCGCCTCTCTTTTACAGGGTCACTATCTACTCCCCGGCAAATAGATACATGTACCAACAGGCTGCGCACTTACTCCATATACGCTGCAGCGACGCTGTACTGCTCATCAACGGAAATCAGAGACGGACTGAAGGTCCTCGATTATGATTGTGAAAAGGATGGGTTGTATAGGATTCCGTATGAAACTGTTCGGCCAGAGTTGACGGAGCGGTATCTACGTGGTTTGCGAGTGGTGGAGTATGGCGAAGTATCGAGGGGCGTGGAATTGGATGAGGTAGTAGTGGTGTCGTACGATTGGTATGAGAGGGTGGTCAGGACGAATGTCAGTTAGTTCCTTTATTTATTTTTTATTGGGTTTCTAAATATTTGTTGTGTTCCTTGGGAATGGATGTCCAATACTTGAATATAGTTGCTGATGTTTAGTTTATGATGGGACAGCGGGCTTGGGCCTTTGAAATGTGGGCACATCATGCCTTTGGGTAAGTAACCAAGACCTACTTGAAAGGCGCCTCTATTTATCACTACTGACATTGCGGATAAAGGGTTTTTTCTTATTGGTTCTGGGGTATTGTACTCCTATCCGGTATCCTGAATCGGCTCTTCATACACTTTTCTGGCCTCCAGCGGCGCGGTATAAAATACGACGCCGAAGGTCATCCTTTGAATATCGGTTCTAGAAACTCTCTCCTATTTTCCCCTCTCAGACGGTTGCGGCACTGGGTGAGGGCCTACTTCATCATCCCTGCGGCTTTCGGAACTCACCATCAACGGTTGTTTTACTGGTGCTCCATTCCAACACGTATCGAAGCAATTGTGATAGTCCTATTTTACATCTTCAGTCTCGTCCTCACCTGTGTTGGACATGATGTGTTTAGAGGGAATCTATTGTTAGTTATAATATCGAGCCGTTCATCTTTATTTCCGCTGACCAAAACATCCCGAATACCTTAGCTGGGACGATATATTCTCCCAAATATTTCGATATGTATCGGATAGAACTGGCATAATGTCGTATGCAAACCTGTGTCTTCTCTGGCTTTTCGGCTCCCGCAACAATCCATTTCTGTGGGCAACCGGCTGGAGTTTCGCGACGTTTAATCTTTTCCATCGAGCGATTGCAAGGGTGGCTACGATCCAGGCTATCGTTCATTCGATTGGATACACGGTGCTCACATTGCAAGGTTAGAAAAATTCCCATGTCATTAATCTAGCTAGATTTTCTTTCTTTCTTTTGTTTAGGTTCTTATTTTAACTAACTTGGTCACATTGTCTTTGGTTTGAAGCGAACGGATCGTATTTCTTATATTGGCCCAATCCATGGTGGTATATGGGCGTCGTTGTAAGTTCTTGTATCCTTCTTTCAAATTCCTCTATTAATGCCCTTGAACCAAGACCTGATATTGAACTTCTCACAGGGGACTGTATGCATGTCATTGCTCCTTGTATTTTCATCGATCTGGTTACGGCGGAATTATTATGAAATCTTCCTCATCATTCATATCACCTTCTCACTTATTATTATTATCGGACTATTCATGTAACTCAAATACCCTACCCTTCCTCCCTAACATTCTCAAAAATAAAAAAAGCCCGATGATGCTAACTTATGCTAGACACACAAGCATCTTCGCAGGCGAGTTCAATCTATACGATAGGTACCTTTGGCCGGTGGTTGTTATTTGGAGTTTGGACAGATTTGCCCGCCTTGCGAGATTACTTTCATGCAATATCCACCTACGGCTTAACAAAAAATCGATTACCTACTCAACGAGTGTGGTATCATACAGCGAAGCGTCTGACATTATCAAACTGGAAATCATACCTGGATCTCGGCATCTGCAGCCTAAACCGGGCCATCATTATTATATCTACCAACCATTACGATGGACAGGATATGAAAGTCATCCGTTCACCGTTGGCAGTTGGTCAGCCATAGGTAATGAATGTGAACACCTTCCTTCCTCTGAGGCCAGCGATTTTTCTTCGGCTAGCACAGCGGTACAATCCGAAACTAGTACACCAAGGGCACCCAAGAGGGCCACCACGAGTGATCTCACAGACGCAAAATACAAACTTGTATTCTGGATCCGACCTTTCGACGGCTGGACCAAGCGTCTCCGATCTGATTGCCTCAAATCACCCAAACAGACTTTAACGACGAGTTTTCTAATAGAAGGACCATATTATGGCCCAATCGAACTCCATACATTCGAAAATGTCATTCTCATCGCCGGCGGCACTGGCATCGCAGCTGCCCTCCCACATATCGAGGAGCATTTACGGCGCACAGAAACAAAATCCCACCATAATAATAAGTTCATTGCACCATCATCGCCGTGCTCCTCTTCAACAGCTCTTCACGCGCCGGAGATCTCCACAGATCCTCCGCGCACGAGAACGAACAACATATCATTCGTCTGGACCACACGGCAAGAGGCGTTTATTCATGAGTTGGCGGCTCGCGAACTAGGCCCGGCGCTCGGGAGAGGGGACATAACTACTCAATTCTACTGCACGTCATTGCAACCGCGCTCAAAATCGCAATCAATTGGCGGCCCCACCTGCAGCAGAGACCTGCAACCCGAGCAAGATACGATGGATGACCGCACCGCGCTCCTATCATCCGTTGACGGTATATATAACCAGGCCGTTACATATGGTAACCATGGCCATACGTTCCCGATTGATATCCATCCCAGAAGGCCGGATATAAGAAATATCATCACGAGAAGTGTGCAGGAAATTGGCAATCGTGGGGATTGTCCTAGAAGCGTTGCAGGGAGGACGGCGATTTTGGTCTGTGGACCGGCGGAGATGGCGGACGAAGCTCGTGTAGCTGTTCATGAGGTTTTGAAGAAGGGGTATAGGGGAGTAGAGTACTTTGAAGAATCGTTTGGATGGTGAGTGAGGAGTGTATATATCCTCTGATGTCTTTTTTGTTCATGTGCAAATGTTTTGGGTGGGTTATGGGCGGCATGGTTTTTTCTCTACTTTTATTCTTGGATGTTTTTATTTTGGGCGAAATATACTATAATGAAATGACTGGTTCTAAGGACCTACTGCCTATGATTAGACGGTTAACTTATATATATTAGTTTTGTATAGAGTTTGAATATATAGATGATATATATTAGTTTTGTATAGAGTTTGAATATATAGATGAATAGACACGCAAATTTAGAACCGTAGAAGAGAGTTCCTGAACATAGGAATGATTTAACCTTTTCATTTAGAGATAAAGCCCTATGTAGGAAATTTTCATCTCTTTCTTCTCTCAAATGGACTAAATATCCCACGCTCGTCCTGATGCCAGAAGTATTAAATAGGAGTCGGAAAAGTTGCAAAGGGGTTGTTTGTCTTGTTGTGTCTGTTTGCACAGTTTGACTGGGAGCTGACATGGAAGCAACGTAAATAATAATTATCAATGATCGCGCTTCCTCCGTCGCATGGCATCGAGTTAACTTAAGAACAGCTTTGCATTTGTCTTCTCGTTTCTCGCTTTGCTTTTATCCGCCGAAATTCATATCCCTTTTATTCCACCACCAGCTAGCTTCCCTTTCCCAGTGCGTTCAAGATCTCGAGATCTTCCCGCTATTAAATCGCCGCATTGACAGCACCATCAGCTTCTGACGCAGTACGGACTCTACGGTGCACGCGTCTGGTAGATTTATGAGAATTAGCCAGTTCATAACCTCTCGAATCGTGTGGACTGCTATCGCAAAGCCTACTTCTTTCTTTGGATATTTCCAAGGCTGTTTGAAAGGAGATTGGAGCTATCCATATATATATCCCATGTTTGCCAAAATATCCATTCCAGCCCACTATTTATTTAAATAGCCTGAGCTGGGAAACGCCCGCGCATTTGAAGAAGAAGCATCGGTTCAATTCGTTCGATAGAAGAAGAACAACAAGAAAATAATATCTTGAGTACTCCGACTTCGGCGCGAGTTCGGGTTTTCCCTACTTTTCGCCCTTATATAACACATATCAGTCATCATGGAAGTGATACAAGGTGCGTTTAGAGAGCCGCGCCTCCCCTTTTGCACAGCTCGCATTTTTCAACGAAGATATCAACTTAAATAGAAAACTAACAATGCGCCAAAACAAAACGAAACGAAACAGAATACGTAATCCCGGCCCTCCAAAACGCCAACAAATACATCCCCCCCTCCATCTCCCTCCAAGCACTCTCCTACTACTCCACCTTCACCACACACTTCCTCCCCATCTCCCAGCAATATCTACAGCCCTACTTCCTCACCCCATTGCAAACCCTCCTAAACTCCCCACCAGACCTCACCTCGCTCCTCGTCCTCTGCCTCCTCCTCTTCATCTCTCTCAGAGTACTCGATTATGCCCGTCGCATCATCACGTTCTGGGTCATGCTGGTGTTCCGACTTACATTCTGGGGGTCTGTGATTGGGGGCGCGTATTACGTGTATGTTGTTGGGTGGGAGAGGGCGGGGAGGGAGGCTGGGTGGTTGTTGGGGTTGCTTCAGGGGTTTGTGGAGGAGATGTGGGCGAATAGTCTGGAGGCACAGAGACAAGGGCAGGGGCAGACGCCGCCGATATATGGGGGGATGCGTTGGGAGCAAGCGCGGAAGAGGACAGGCTAGAATCGAGCTTGACGGAGCGGGCTTTGGTGGGGGCCAAGAGGGGCTGGTTTTTTTTATGATTGGAATGATACTTTCTTGTTGGGACGATACATTGCTTTTGCGTTTATCGTGTTCTCTGTCGCCTCTTTCTCGTACGCCTTTCACACGCCGGATATATTTATTTTTAATACTATTGGAAAGTTGGATTTGGCTTCTTGACTAGCTCTGCAAAGTCCGGTTTTCATTGATTCAGTATGGTCATATTATGTTATTATATACATGGTCTTTTTCGGATTCATTAACTATTCATAGTGCGGATTGCCTTTTGTTTTTTTCAAGCTCAATCCGCTAATTTTTGACATAAATCGGGCCTTCCTGCTGCCGGCACTCGTTTGTCCCCCTTGCTAAGTTTATATAATGGGAAATGTTGTCCCCACAAGATAATGCCAATCCTCTCCTCAGCAGTAGATGGTTCGTCGAATTTAGCCATCGATGGCCTGTCAAACTGTAGGGGGGCGTCCCTCAAAAACTCCCATAAACGGGGGGGGAATGGCAGGGGTATATAAAGATCTGCCGTTCGGAAATTTTTTCACGATCATGTGTCGTGCCATTACTCCAAATCTACCTCCCGCTCATCAGCCGGCTCCCTGGGTTCCTGCGCCTCGTGGAATTGGATCGCATCATCGATATAGCTCAGCACACTACCAATGCTGTCCTCGTCCTGAACATCCAACTTCAGAAATGACACCATGCTGAAGTCGTCAAGCAGCTGGCCAACTGCCCGATTAAGCCGCCTAAACGAGTCACCACTCAGCAGGGAATTTGTAGATGTGGGGTCCTCCGCTGCTGCACTAGCTGCCTCTGCTTCATGCCCACCACCACCTCCCTGATTCTCCTCATATAGCAATTGAATATCCACAGCTGTGAAGCGCTTCAACTCCTTCTTTCCAATCATCCCTTTGACCTGATCCATCTTACTTAGGATATTTACATGTGGCATCTCCAGCATGATCATGGCAGACATGGCGCTCAATGCTCCTGCGAAGAACTTGGCGCGATCAATAACAAAGGTACTCTCCAGTAGATACGCAGCACAGAGCGAAATATTCAACGGCCCTGCGCGGGACAGATGCTGTATTAACGACGGAAGCAGCGGGACATGTGTATACAGCTCGATCTGGCCTGGCATGTCGAAGATGATCAGGTACTCGTCAGTGAGCGGGTCGAGGGCCTCGGTTAGAAAATCAAGGTTCTGGAGGAGGAATTCGAAGCAGTACATCAGGCCGCCGTTAGGGCCTAGGCCTAGTTCTTCCATGACATCTTCGAGGGTGATTAGTTCGCGGATGTCGAGGTCTGGTTCGTAGGAAAAGGATTCTGCGGCCGGGTCGAGGTTGACGTAGAAGCAGCTGCGACGGGTGGTTTGGAGGTGTTGGATTAGGGCGGTGCAGAAGGTCGTTTTGCCGGCGCCTGCAGGGCCCATGACGAGGACGCCGAATTTCGACATGGTGAGGGTGTTTTGTTGCTGTGTTTTCTTTTTTTTTTTTTTTTTTTTTGTGCGGATGCTTGTGCCAAAAGATCGATGGAGGGGCGGCGTCAATGGTATGTAGCTTAAAAGCTTGATATGGGGGATGTTATCATCATGCTAGTTGTATTTCTAGTAGTGAACGGTGTAATATAAATTAATATGAGGTAGCATCCTATCCTATTCTAATACCGCGCATTGGAATAGTCGCTGCAATATTGTTATACTGCTGTACATGTATACTCTCGTTAGATCAAGATTGTTCTTCATCATTATTATGCCAGACACCACCGCCTTCCTAATCAAACCGATTGCACCATTTCTTGGCACTCATCCCGATTTGGCATAGCGTTAGATGTCTTTCCGCCGCCTCCAAAGTTCCCAATTTTTGGATTTTCTTCCATCCTCATCATCTTCTTCTTCTTTTCTCATCCCTCTCTATCTCTCTCCCTCCTGCCCCTCTCTAGCATCGTCTTTGTTGTATCAGAGTCTTGTATTGTCTATTCTCTTTCCTCCTAACTCCTCCTAACCTTCCATTCCCTTCATTCCTTCACAATGGGCAGCATTCAGAACGGCGTTCCCAAGGGAACTTTCCTCTTCACCTCGGAAGCCGTAGGCGAGGGCCACCCTGACAAGATTGCGTGAGTATGCTGTCTCAATTGCGCCTTTTTTTTTCATTATTCATCTACGATTCATTCATTGACGCTTTCACAGTGACCAGGTCTCGGATGCTGTGCTCGATGCCTGTCTCGCCCAGGACCCGCTTTCCAAGGTAAATCTACCCCTCCGTACTAAAACTTCCGAGGCGGGGGAAAACTCTCTGCTCAAATTTTCCCTAACATGGCTCTAAACAGGTCGCTTGTGAAACAGCCACCAAAACTGGTAGGTTCCATTGACTTAAAATCAGCCCCGCTTGTACTCGTCTGTCCAATATCTTAACCCTCTTTTAGGTATGGTGATGGTTTTCGGTGAAATTACCACCAAGGCCCACCTCGATTATCAGAAGATTATCCGAAACGCCATTAAAGACATCGGCTATGATGACTCTTCCAAGGGCTTCGACTACAAGACCTGCAACGTCCTCGTTGCCATTGAGCAACAATCGCCTGACATCGCTCAGGGTCTCCACTACGACGAGGCTCTCGAGAAACTAGGTGCTGGTGACCAGGGTATCATGTTTGGATACGCCACCGACGAGACACCCGAATTATTGCCCTTGACCCTTCAGCTGGCCCATAAACTTAACAAGGCCTTGAGAGATGCCCGTGTTGATGGCACTCTTCCATGGCTCCGCCCAGACACCAAGACCCAAGTCACCGTCGAATATGCCCATGATAATGGCGCCGTCAAGCCCCTCCGCGTAGACACGGTCGTTATCAGCGCTCAACACAGCGAAGTTATCACCACGGAGGAAATACGAAAAGAACTCCTCGAGAAGATTATCAAGAAGATCATCCCCGCCAACCTCCTCGACGATCGCACTACCTACCATCTCCAACCCTCTGGCCTCTTTGTCATCGGTGGTCCCCAGGGTGATGCTGGTCTTACCGGCCGGAAAATTATTGTAGACACCTACGGAGGCTGGGGTGCTCACGGTGGTGGTGCCTTCTCTGGCAAGGACTATTCCAAGGTCGACCGTTCCGCCGCCTACGTTGCGCGATGGATCGCCAAGTCGCTCGTTAACGCAGGACTTGCCCGCCGCGCCCTGGTTCAACTTTCATACGCCATTGGTATCGCGGAGCCCCTTTCAATATTCGTCGAGACGTACGGTACTTCCTCGAAGACTTCAGAGGAATTGGTCCAAATCATCCGGAACAATTTCGATCTTCGACCCGGTGTCATTGTCCAGGAATTGGACCTGGCCAAGCCCATCTACTTCCAAACCGCCAAATACGGCCATTTCACCAACCAGAGCTTCTCATGGGAGAAGCCTAAGACCCTTAAATTTTAGAGGTCATTCGCTTTTCTCCCTTTTTCCTTCTCGCATAAACGGGACGGTGTCTCACGACTCTTGACGATTTTGCTTTGTTTTCAACAACTCAAAGCGCCATATAGACTCAACAACGAAAGTACTTTCTTCTCTTGTTCATTAATTTCTCTTCGCCATTTTCCCTACTTCCTTTTGCGTGACTTTTTGTTTGCATTTTCGAGCCTCCTCAACTCTGCGGGCTCTGGAAGAAAAATTCAACATATGATACCAATTTCATGATTTCTTTTTGACGGGTTATTCATCACAGGGCGTTTGCGGAGCAAAAGTCTTCAACATCTTTTTCTCCACCAGGCAAGGCAAAGATATATAGAGTGGGATACGACTTAACTTTTCTGTTTGTTTGTGTGCTCTTTTGCAGCTGAGCTCTTTTCCTAAAAGTTTCTATATCTCCTTTGTCTGGGTGGAACGACTAGCTCGGGTCCAGATTCGAGCGTTTTACTTTTCAAGACCTCGCTGGATTCAAAAAGGGGACATGTCATTCTCGGTTTACCACAGTGGTCTTTTATCTTGTTGTGGAAAACGAGACAACAATACTTATAATGTATGTAATCTGAATGGACTGCACATACCCCGTTCATCATCCATCATCATCCATCATCATCCCATGGATTTTCACAGTAGCGAAATGTCCCAAAAAATCCGGGTTACTACGGAGCAGATTATCAAGGCCTCCCGTATTCAGTGTAATCAAATACTCGAAATAAAGTGGGCCATGAAAGAAGAGATCAAAACACATACGGAGTATAAAAAAAGATACTTTAGAAGAGTCCAAGATAGCTCCACAATCCTCCCTCCCCTTTACAAGAGTATAGCAAACCCAGTTGCACCACGTGACTGCGTCTCCAACGCGCGAGTCGCGGGCACTTTGACTGAGGCTCCAAGCCCGCCCAACTTCAACCAACCTCCCCATATTGAAATTATAAGAGTTTCAAACACCATATTTTTCCTCCCTCCTTTCCTGTGTATCCCATTCCTTACTCTATTTAACTATTGCTTGTATATAGAAAGCAGAAAGCAGAAACATAAACATACAAAATACAATTATGCCCACCCAGACGTTGACGCGTCGAAACTGGAATGGCATCATCGCATTCCGGCCCTGCTGCTGCCGCTGTTCTTGAACCGGCATCCCCGACCCTGTTGAACTCGCTCAAGGCGAAGGAGAATAGGAAGGAAGAGGAAACACAAACGGCCCAGCCATTGAAGCGGAGAAAGATATCCCGTGGTGGAGGTAGCGTTATACCCCGGACGGAGACCAAGGCGGCTTTCATTAGCTCTCCGTTCACGATACGGGTATGTATATATTGTTCGAAGCCTTCTTTCTGTCCTCAGGATCAATCGATTCCCCCCCGCGCCGCCCAGGTCCAACTCCCCGGGACAATGCTACGCGTTCCAACCCGTTTTTTAAAAGAAGCCAAATACCGTCCTAGCTAACATAATAAATTTACAATAGCCCCACCCAGACTCTCCCCAATCACAGCTACGGCCGCAAGTCAATCCAAAATTAATCCCGATCGCGCTCGTTCCTAGATCCAGATTGCCATTATCATGGCTCGACCCTTGTCCAAGCGCTGTTAAGCGCATACAGTCTGGTAGACTGTTCATTGCGAATATTCCGGCGCTAGATTTGGATTTGCACCAGCAGCAACAGCAGGAGCGCAAATGTGGCCCAGTTGTTCTAGCTGCGCGACTTGCAGTGGATGAAGAGGAGGAGGGGGCGGGGAAGTCGGAGGAGGAATTTTATGTTGTGGAGAGGGTTAGGAGGGGGGTATATTCCGTATGTGCACTGGGGAGTTGGGTAGTAGAGGGGGATTTGATGGTTGCAGCGAAAGGAATGGCGAGGTATAGCTCTCCTTCACCTATGCGAGACTTTGTGGGTGAAGAATTAGTTGGTGACGATAATGGCCAGGAGGGTGGTCGTACCGAGAAACAGGGCAATTGGTTGGAGAAAGCCACAGTTCCTGACCCAGCTGCTACATTTTCTGGGAAACGGAAGGCTATGACGAAAGATGTGACTCTTGCATTTGGCCCGAAGCTTTGCAGGGAGAAGGGGTTTCCGGACCTTAGCACTGACATGAGTGGGTTGAGCTCGACTTCTGGACTTTCCAGCGTACATTGTGATCAGGTTGATGGGAGGGGCTCAATGGGCTTAGAAGCTGATACCCATCATACCATTCTGCGACCGGTGTCTAGCAAGGATACCCAGCTTGATTCGCACTTGCAGGCAATTGGCCTTCCGTTGTGTGAATCTACAGAAGCGAAAGTTACTCAATCTCCCCAGGAACTTTTTGACAACCTGAGGTCGCAGTATCTTGAGGCATTATATATCTCGAAGGTATATTATTTCTGCCATCACCCTGATCCTTCTACTATATAGTTCACTCTGCTGATTCTTTCTAGACTTCGGTGGCATATTTTGCGAAGGGACCCCTTTCCCGAGCGCGGGCTAGTTTCCAATCTCCCAATGAGGAAATTTCAATGAAACCCACAGACCTGTCGAATTTCTACAGGGAGTGCATACTACCTATGAAAAAAATGGACCTCAAATATAAAGACTCTCTTCCAAAAGCGATACAGGATATCCCCATAGGAATGTCCGACGATGAAGTCCCAGCAAATCCAGCAAAACCTCGAAAGCGAAAAGCCAGGAAAGCAAAACTTGGGGAAAATGGATTGTATCCAGAGGAAAGTGATTTGGTTAGAAAGTGGTGGAGAAATCGGAGCCTTTCTGAAGCATCCGTTCCACAGCAGTCATCTAGGCAAGAGGAAGTCAAGCGGCTAATCGGCGACTTACGACTACGAGAGACTCAATTGCAGGTTCTCTTGATTCTCGAGACGATCTCTTTGGAAGCTTCGTACAATAGCAAAGCTGCCCAAGTGTTGTCAGCGGCCGCAGAAACCCAGGCTAGCAAGCCCCAGAAGCGAACAAAGGGGAAAAAACAGCAGGACTTAAATGTGTTGCTTGAATTGCTCGTAGATAGGCTATGCATCTGGCATGCTGTGAGCTTCAGCGACATTCTACTCACCGATTCTGCTAACGGTAAGAGTGAATCAGCCGGTAAGGCAACAGAGAATGATAAGCTTCGCGACTTTTGTACAGAGGTCATCATCCCTTTTTATGCGGGTCGTCTTCCGGATCAGTGTAAAACCATCAGCCGAAAGCTGGGCGGACCTATTGCTATTTCCCCGAGTCGTCCTCCAATTTCTCGATCAAAATCGGGGTCAGCAGCACAGCCCGGAGCCGCGGTGAAGAGGACCCACAGCCAAAGATCACAGCGCACCCTACAACGCGTTTTGACTGATGAGAAAATGGCTTCAAGGAGCAGGGCACCATCGCTCTCGCGTTCCAACACTATCGCGAGTTTGGACGGGTTGAAACGCGAAAACAGCGAACCACCGTTGTTGTCTTTGATATCAGGTGCACGTGGAGGGATTCAGAAACCAAAGCGTGTGGATAATCGAGAAATTGACCTTGACGCTGTTGCCAAACAGCACGAAGTGAAACTAAAGCGGATGAATTCACTTCTGGAGCAGAAGAAAGAGCTCGATGCAGCCATCAATGCCTTGAGAAAGCCCAACAGGGAACTCGTTGCGAAAGACTTTGCAGAGACTGTAGAAAGACGAGTGTCCACAGGGTCAACAAGAAAATCAAAGAATCCTGTCCGAAACCCATTTGGTCAAGGGGTGCAGGTAATGGCTACCCCTAGAGGGTCGCGGAAAAAAGACTGTAGTGCTGTTGCTGGAGAAAGCTTGACACGCATTAGCCGAGCATTGAGTTCGTCGAATGAGAAACTCGTTCCATCGCCGGCATTGAGTAGTGACATCCAACTCATCCCATCCTCGTCAACACGACCAAGCCAGCTTCCTGGTCGACAAGCTTTCACCTCGCGACGTGGCCGTCACAGCCCGATCCATGAAACACCGACAAAAACATCTACACGACTGTCATCTCGCCCATCGAATGACGGGACTACCGATTATAATGACTTCGATTCGACTCCGCTTCCCAAGCAATCCGGCGTTTTATTTAAGGTCCCCAAGATTCCGGAAACGAACCAACCATTTGGGCAGCAACAAGACATGTCGCCAAGTGCGTTGCGGAAAACGAGATCATATCCCAGCCTCACCCTCGGCGGTAACAACAACGACAGAAACAACAATAACTATAATCATATTACTAACAACCCTCCTGCTATCCGTATCAATAACCCAACCTCCTCAATCCAAGAAACGCCGCCCCGTCCTACATCATCCTCCTACCTGTTGCCCCCAGAAAACAATCATGTACCACGATCTCTAACCCGCGATAATGATAATCAAGATAGACGAGACCAAGAAACCATAATTTTTACTACACCAACAAAAAACACAGCTGCTGTTAAGTCTGTGCCTGGAGCGGGCGGCAGCACTTATCCGACCGCCAATACTAATATTTGTGTAGTAGATGCGACGCCGGAGAAATCTATATATGACCAGTTGGGATGGAATGATCATGACGACGATGATGATGATGAACTTGCATTGCCTTAGAAATATTATCCTTGTAAGGAGTTTGTTTGCGTGGGTGTTTATTTTAGTATTATTCATTTCCCCAGAGTCAATTTACCGCGGGTCTTTTTGTTCATACGCTCGTTTTTACCGTCAAGACCCTTTTCGGCGCACAAACAAGATGCAAACAGCTGGACGGAGTATTGTTGCTCTCTTGTTGTGCTGCCATTTTCTTGCTTTCCCTTTCTTTCCTTTCTTTTCCTTTGAACTAAAACACGATAACATAGACATAGAAAGTGAATGATGAATGAATGAGTTACAGATATCTATATCAGAGATGTTGGATAACCTTCAACGAAGAGAAATGAAGGAAGAAAAATTGTAAAAAAGGAAAGGAAATTGACAAAGCCACGAGCTTTCGCGCATGCATTATTTGATAATTTTGCCATGAGATAGGTTAACGCGGCAGTTAGGGCAACGCGGATTGATGGCTCAGCGGAGGAGGTTCATACTGCCAAATTTTCCAGAAGGGCACTCCCAAATAGTTGATAAAACGCTTGTAGTCTCTCGCCTTGCCCGCGCTACCTTTTGCCGTCACAGGTGTGGAAACATGTCCATACTGGAAAGACTAAAAATCCGTTTCAACATGCACATCAAGGTCCGCCCCGGAATTTCGAGCAGAGACACATAGTTTGCTCCTTGCTAATGGCAAGAAATTTATAATAAATTCAGTACTTTAGTCTTTGGAAGCAATACTTAAAATTTTAACAGGAGACGTGACTACTCGATTTAGAGGGAACTTGTAAAGGGCGAAAATTGGTAATATCACACTACTATTACTGATAGGCTGCGCCGGCTTGTGTTGGTGATGAGCTTTTAAGCTTTGTCGCTAAATTTAAGCTTAAAATTAAGGGTCGGATGGGCCCATGGTTGCTGAATCCTGTGGCCGGCTTAGGTGAATGAAATCCGCCCTGACGCAGTTTCAAAACCATGGTAATAAGGTATGTATATCTCTAACCCTTTGACGCCAGTCAGTCCTGTAGGAGGGAGAAATCAGAAATGTTGATTTCTTACACAGTGTTGGACCATTAGAGCCTATGAACTTACTCCTCAGAAGGCTTTTAGAAAGTCGAGTGTTCAACTGAGGAATGGGTTTCAGACTATATGCAGTTCTCGTTGATTTAGGTAGTTAGATATTTTCAGGAAGCGGAGTGCGCCATACATTGCAACTAAACTGATCGGCTATTCACCTGAAATATGTTTATTTCGCGATATCAATAATTCATAAAACAGGGGGACAGATTTGGCGATGGTAGGTTCAGTGTGTGGGCAAAAATCGCTTGAACTGGCGATCCTGCCCCTCAGCTTATAGACGTACTACGTAGTATCAACGGTGATCTAATCCGTATCAGAACCAGAATATGACTTCAATTTTAAACTCTGCGAAGTCGGAACCCATCTTCTTTAACTCAGGCTATATCCCATTGTTTGAACGTATGTATATGATATACGAAAAGCGACAACCGCCGGCGAGTAGAATGTGCTCGGGCTATTTCCGCGTCAGCGGTCTATTCTGTACGGGGGTGTTAGTTAATTGTGCAGGGTTGAGTAAAAGTAAGCACTGACTTGAGAATAGCGCTGACCGACTCGTAACTTCATAAAACGAGCGATAGCGTTCAAGCCATCCTCTGATTTATCTTTTCTCCACCTCTCTCTCCTCCCTCCAAGACAGTCTCTTTACTATGATAGCTAATTGCCTTCTGCTGCCAACCAACACGGAATGATTTCCCAGAAAATTATGCAGCAGTCGCTGCGACGATGTATGTTGAACTTGGAGAATAGGAGATCAGGGCTCTGCTAATAATACAATCCCTCGCAGCGCATTGCATATTTAGTCGGGCTCTGTTAAACTACATAGTTCCAATCAATTTTACTAGGAGCGCATATATTCAGACGAGGTCAGTCACGAGGAATCCGTGATAATAGATGTTCAACCTCCTACCGTGTCCGCCACTATCAACCCAACCAGTCCCGCAACATCACAACCCGACATCGCCGGAGCACTCGGATTTTCAAGTCAATTCTAACAGCTAAGTTAAACAAGAGAAACCGCATCGTCTACTAAAGCCTCAGATCCCAATGATCTCCTTCGCAAACAGCGTCTCAACCGCCCGATATCGCCCAACCTAACCATCTACCGACCTCAGGTTACTTCCGTTCTCTCCATCCTCCATCGTAACACTGGGCTACTTGTGTCTGGAGGCTTCTATCTCTTCTTTGCTGTATATCTTGCCTCTCCCTGGCTCGGTTGGCACATTGACTCTGCGTCTATGGCAGCGTCTTTCGGAGCTCTCCCCGTCGCTGCCAAGGTGCTTTTGAGGACGACTGTTGCTCTTCCATTTACCTTCCACTCCTTCAACGGCGTGAGACACTTGGTATGGGATTTGAGTTGCGGATTAAGCAATAAACAGGTCATAAGGTCTGGCTGGGCTGTGGTCGGATTGAGTATATCAAGTGCCCTCCTCCTTGGATTTCTGTGACCCTCACTCCTTCGGCATGGAGTTTTCAAATTTCATTTACTTGTATTTACTTATCTCAGCTGATAATAGGCTCTAATTTATATGAATCAAACGCTGGCATATTATTCGTGCGTTTTAAAATAGGACGTAGTCCTGTTCGTCTCCTTAATTTTCTCCAGATCTGGGTGGCGATGAATAACCTAGACAGTACACCAACAATTGGACCAGAAATCCTACTCTGTGCCATTTTGGAGAACCAATTCTCTACGATGGAAGATCTGCAGCTGAGGGTGGGTTCGGAGCACTTCCTTCAACTTACGCGTGAAAGTATGGCAGCATCTGGAGTTCGTGCCATGGAACAAGACCGCCGGTTTTAATTACTCCAGTCGAATAGCAGTTTTCAGCTCGCCAATCAACTTCTGAGGACAAGTTGGACTTTTCGCTATTCCAAGTTTTGGGCGGAAAGATTCCCAACAGACAAGTTTCGTCTTGCCAATGTTTTCTCTCTTTATTATGGGTATCAACCGACCGTGGCCTCAACTCACGGCGGAGAGAAAATAATCCAATTCGAATGGCTTCGTTTCTGAAACTTGAACTTGTTGGCGCATTCCAGGCGATATTTCAAGGAAGCGCCACACAAACAAGAGAATACCATGAATCCTTCCTGTGAATCTCTCTCTGTTGCATATCAACTTGAAAAGTTGGTATAACTCAGGAGTCTGATGAATACTGGTCAAGCCCATGTAAAATCTGGGCAAAAGAAAAGGCTGAGCTGATTTCATGGCCAGTTATGCCTTATGTCCACAGGTGGAGTCAAGCCACCTTCAAATGACTGACGGGATTTCGCCCAGGAAATAGTTCTAAGGCCTGACTTGACTCAGTTCAAGCGTTTTTTGTATGCGCCCGCCTTTGGCTGACTCAAGACAATTTCTGAGAGGTTTGATCCCCCTGTTCATATCTAAAGTACCCATCCAGGGCTAACTTGAACATTTGACAGCCATGAACATGACACTATATTACTCCGACACCCCGGCTCCTCCTATACACAAATTGCAGGCCCCATTCCTGTCAGATCTCAAGGCACACACAAGCATTGTCGTACCCCAAAATCACTATCTGCTCTGATTGTGCCCAGAAACTGGGTCGAAGGGAGTCACCATCGCGGAGAAATTCACGTACCCAGCATCAGGGGTTAAACAGAGTTGTTTCTGTTTTGGCTTGCTTAGGAGAATGGGAGCCAGGATTTGACCACCCGCGCCCCATTCGCTTTTCTATTTATGTCATACTCTCTCACAGAGTGCATGGAAGGGCTAGGATATTTTGAATGCTCTGCGTCCGGCGGTTCGCTCTTGATAGACATCATCATGGTGGTTGGGAAATTTAGATCATGAAATCAGTCTTTTTTAGAACTGTTGTTGAATCTGTTTCACAATCTGAATTCAGTGTGCTGAATGGGTAAAGTCATCCCCTCCCCCCATTTTTTTTTATTGGATTCTGCTGCGCTGAGGGATGTACTTTCTGTATTCCTTTTACTCTGGCCTCAGTCACCTTGTCTTCAGCTTTCTTGGAATGCCATTGATGGTGTGACTGCTATCATATGAAGGAGACCACAATCTATCTTGAGGGTAGGGCCACAGGGGGCTAATGAAGCTTGAAGGAAGGCTTGTCAAAGAGGTGCAAGAAGGAAGGATGAATATCATTTGTTTCAAGGCGGGTAGAATATGGGATGAAGCATGTCATCCTCCCACTGTGCTCAAGGCGGTGTTAAGATCCTCACACAGATTTGTTGCAGCTTGTTGAAGTTCTTTCATATTCAGTCAAAGCCTCCAGCCCTAAAACTCCTCATTGCGGCTGTTCTCATCTTGGTGAGTAGAGACAGTGGAAGAACATCGAAACAACTTTACTCCAAAAAAGAAAAAGAAGATTGTAGTTTCAATGATGCCTTGACAAGAAAGAGTAGGGCCCTCTTTTATAAACTGATTCCTCCTCTATTGCAATACAGGAATAAATGCTCATCAGCCAGCACTCTCCCCTCCCTAAGCCAATAAGACCAACCATTGGAGCTCGGATGCTGTGTTCTTTGGCCAGCATATGTCTCAGTTTGCATGATAACTGCTCATTTGTCCTCAATTTGTCCTCGATTTGTCCTCGATTTGTTCCTTCTTCTTTTACAGATTTGCAGAGGCAGGAAAACATTAGCATGACAAACACACTCATACATGCAAACTGGCATTTGCATACATGATACCACCCGGGCCTGGCGGACTCTGCATGTTTCAAGATATCCGGGCTCGAACCCGCCAAATCGCGGACATCGCCTAGCACTGCTTTCATAAACGCCATGAAGCATCCCGCATATCAGTGGAGTTAAACTATTAATTGCAAAAGCGGCTCGCAATATCCGGCTAGTTCATAGGCAGGGCGGCCACTCTGAGTAGCCATCTTTTGGATTCACCATGTCATTTTCAATCCTTCAGGTCAACAGCAACGTTCGGGGGGTAACTGAAAAAAGGCAAATCGAGGCTTCTCCTGAAGGTCCAGGCCATTCTATCTTCCTGTATGTGTGATAGGGGGATATATCAGGCAGAGACCATATGCTTTCATAGGCGTTGGCGAAACCTACAGTTAAAAATTTCGGTTTCTGTACACGGGCAGTATCACAAGAACCTTCTGATTAGATATCTGAGCATATCTGCCGGGACGGTCAAAAGTAACGGGGGAATATAAAATAGGGGTAGTGTCATAAAATATCTTTGAGGATGGCACCTGAAGTGGAAGGGAGTGGGAATTGAATGGAGTAGTTCAGAATGATACCATTATCAGCGGCATATTCTCTGAGAACTTCAAGGCTCTAACTCGGGACAACACCTGATATCTATGGATCTTCATTGAGGCCTGATGCTCACTTTTTTTAAAAACCCCGTGTATCTCTCTATCTCCTTGTTATCATTTCCCTCTCCTTGATGAATCAATCATTGGTATTGCATCTATTCCAATCACCAGCCACTGACTGGCACACAAACTCATGATCACCTTCAGTCAATCTATTCATGGACAAGGAATATTTTTACCCTGAAGATGAAAGGATGAAGTTGTTCCACAAAGTAATGTCTATCTACCATGTATGTTTATAGGCCCTGTTTCTCCTCCTCAAGCGTCAAAAGCACTCAAAATGCTCAAAAAAGCTGCAGAGACATTAAGCTGTCAAATGCAGTTGATACCAACCCACTATCTACTCGTAGAGCCAATCCCACCCCCGGATATGTCTTCACCAAAATCCATTTCGGGTGTAACTCCGTGAAATAACTCTAAAACTGCGAACAGCATCGCAGGCCACTCCACTGAGAGCACTTTCAGCCACAACTAAACAGTTAGTTATAGTTAGTTCATGCTGATTTGCTCACTCTGGTCGGATTCGCCGGGTATTCGGCCTTCTGGAACTCATGACTTGCAGGGCAGCAGACTAGCAAGGAAGTCGCTACATGGATAGGTAGTATGCAATCTATCGTCCACGGGAGCTGTCTTAGAATAAAGTAAAGCAAATTTGTTAACTTCTGAAAAGTGTGGGGGGATGGATGAGTTGATGAAATACCCTTGCTGACTGACAGTCTGATGGGCAAAGATGATTAGCACCTGGTGCTTAAATGCGATCTTAATTGAACGTAAGGAGTGGAGTGAAAGTATAGATTTAGACTCTCCTTCCTGGGCCTTATGTTGCAAGAAAAAGCAACCCTTGTAATACCCTCATATAGACATCTTTACTAGTTAGTAGCCAAGTTAGTGAACCAGCGCCAGTCTACTCTGTACAGAGAATGTAGAAAAATATGTGCTTAAGCAACATGTCACTGCATCATGTAGGAACAAGACTTCTGTCAACAACAAGCCACATAAATCTTGCATCAAAGACAAAGGAAATAGAAAAGAATATGTACATAGTAGTTACAGGATAGTTAAAAGCTTTCTCCAACAGCTCATGCAGAGTGTGCATCAGTTCAACAACTAAGCTACTTGAGCAACTCACTATCAACAAGCTCCAAGCTCCACCAGTCATCAAGACTGTTCTATTTCTGTGTAGAACTAAGTTATCCATTGCCCATTTTCAAGAATGAGATGAGATTTCAAAATAAACAGGCCTTGAGAGGAGCACAGCCTAGAATATCAGAGTCAATGTTGATGTTGAAATGTGAACCCCCCAGCAACAACGAGGTGTGTGAATGAGGGTTTTCTGTGCTCTGGCCAAAGGCCAAAAGAGGTAATAGAGCCGTTTTGATGTAATGGTCAGATGAGGGTATAAATGTATCATTAATGGACAGGGTTCTGTTTGATAGGGCTTTTTTATCACCCCAGGCAAGACACACGAAGGAATAAATGATGTAGGTGGCAAGGTTTAATGTTGCCTACATACATCCAGAAACTAATAGTAGTCTCATAACTTCAGGGGCGGGAGACATTGTCCGGCAAAAGGGTTGGCGGGTGTGTGAGAAGAGAAAGTATCTTGATCGACATTGTAAACCCCCCTTTCTCTCTCCTCCCTGCTCATGTCACTCTGTACCTACATAGAATCGAATGTAGTGACAGGTGACACCTGCTTTGTACTGTACATACCTTGGTGGTTAGTTCTATATGGAGTATACTCACAGACAATGGGGGACGGAATTTACACCTCCTTTCTTTTATATAACTACCCCATAACTACAGATAGATCATGGGCATTTTAAAATCCAACCGCCCACCCCACCCTGTAACTTCCCGAGCTGCTGCGGGAGTAGATCCCTTTAAAGCTAAATATCATACCCGCTGTCCGGGCTTTAACGAACAAACTCCTCCCGAGCAACCCGTCAAAAGCTTAGAGTCGAGCCGAGTCGGGTCAACCCGCCATCCTGGGAACCCCTAACTTAAGTAAACAGGCGCGTCCAACCCCTAAGTTTTCAACATAGCCAGCAGCATCGCAACGAGCCAACCAAAGGCGGCAAATTTGACGGGATAGATCCGAGATGGCAGAGAAAGGATTAGCAGGATGTAAAAACAGCTCCACTCCACTAGTTACCAGGCGTCGCACTTTTCCTCCTGTGTTGCCCTGCCTTGCCTTGCCTCCCCTTCGTGTATTTCCCTAAGTTAGTTACCTGTACATGTACTCTCATTTAATCACGATCGGGATGTGTGCGATTGTAAGTTAGTTAACTGATTACCGCACACTATGTATTGTATGTACCATCCTCCGATCTCCGATCTATGTAGGTACTGTGTGTATCTACGTAGGTAGCCATTTATCATTACACTGCGTAAAAACTTCAATCATAAATCCCATCTGTCGCAATTCATTGACTCCAGCTTGAAAACCACCCCCTTTTTTAACCCTGATGAACACGCAAGTAAGAACTTGCACCTATGCAACCTGATTGAATTTTGAATTTATCGCTTTCTGATGTCTCTCCAATTAGTTACACCAAAAAAAAAATCATATCCTCCCCCACGTTCGATACAAATTCCTTTTGTCTTTTCAAGCTCGCACGCACCTCAGCTAACTAGCCAGACCAGGCACCACCACCACTCTCACCTCTCACTCCTGAGGTCCCCTATCTTAGGGGGGACAGAGCTCCCCTCCCTCCCTCTGAGCGTTCCAACCACCCCAAACTTTTCCCTGGATGGGATGGAGGGAAACGGGGGCACTGTGGGCTCGATAGGCGTCTCTAACTGGCCCCTCTCTTCTTGAGCCTTACACAAGAAACCCCACGCAGGCACCCCACCTGTTTTAAAGCTGTTTTAAAGGGTGTGGTATGGGATGTTGACAGAAGAAGGCAAAAGGCATTAAAAGAAAGGGAAGGGGGAAAAAGAAAAAAAGAAAAAAAGAAAAATCCCCGCGCGCTTGTGGCTTTCTTGATTTCTCGTTCTTTTCTTTCCTTTTTTTTTTTTTTTTTTTTTTTTTTTTTTTAAATTTTTTTCTTTGAATTTTTAACCCAGGTGCCAGTTAACCAACCTAGGTAGGGTAGCCAACTTATTAGATATCAGGGGTTCACGTACGGAGAAGTTATGTGTATATATGTACATGTACAGTAACTTTGTTTGATGAGAACGGGCCAAAAGAGAAGTAAATATCACTAAGTTTTTATCTGTGCTCGAAGTTCCAGTGATTCGTAGCTCTCTCACAGACCAACTCCCGTCGAAGTCCCAAGAAAATATATAGTTATATATATATAATTAAGAAAGAGAAAAGAAAACGGAACGAATAATGAAAAATGACAGAATGGGCAACACGATCTCAGGAAAGTGAAGAAATGGGGCGCACAAGCTCCGGAGGGTCTGGGCGTTTCTTTGGGTGTGGGTGCGCGTCGTTCGGGGGGGATTTGGTAATACCCACTTATGAACTTAACTAGGTAGTTATTATGATTAACTAACTAACTAGTTATTGCCCAATGCCCAACAAGAAGGTCCACGGGTGGGTGCTTTTTAGGTTTAGGTTTTTGCGGGGTAGTTAGCGTCACGGTAAACTTAACCCTCCATTTTTTTAAACTTGCTCTGGGCGGGCGGGGCGGGGCGGTTGGTGGATGGGTGGAATGGAGGCTCTGGTTTTCAAAGTGCATTTAAAATAAATAAGAAAGAAAGGTGGCAAGGGCGAATTTGTATGGATCCCATGACGGTGGGTGGATACTGAGGAATGTATACGGAGTATACCATAAACGATGGAGCTGGGCTGTATAAATTCATGTTAACAAGTACAGTGGTTTGACAGAGAATGCGATCGTGCTGTGATTGGGTGGGGGGCAGTAACCTTGGAAAGCTAACAATCCATCAGGTGGATGCGTACGACCGGGCGGCAAATCCTTTAAAAATAAATAAAAAATAAAAAATAAAAATATTAAATATTATACTCTAAACATTGGGAATGAATCAGAGGACAAAACAAAGCCTGTTCCCTCATGCTGAGCAAAAGAGTACAGTACATTACATTCTTCAGTAGCAAAAATAGCTTCAGTTAAGAGTTAATAGGGGGCGCACAATGATTTTTTTTTTTGCCTTTCCAAGGGCATACATACATGTTTCTCCAGGCTGAAGGGGACAGCCCCCCCCCCCAAGACCATTTTTTTTTTTTCTCCCTCTCCCTTTTTCCGTTTCGCCAACAGGAAAGAAGGAAGGAAGGCAACTACCTAGCTGACTGCCCAACACGGGGGAACAGGGATAACTACTCCTTCATTTCTTGACCTTCGGGCTGCCAAACAACCAACAACCCTTCCCCCCCCCCCCCCCCCCTTTCTTCCTTGTCGGCCCATAGCTTGTACTCGTCGAGTGATCAGTACTAACCGTGCATTGGTAGATGTACAGTACATGTACGTGCATGCAAGTATGCCTAGAAGGAACCGGCCTTGCTGTGCCGAGTAGGACAAGAGCAGGAGATAAAAGAGCCCTGGTGGTTCTTCGGGTGATGGACATTGTGCAGGAGCCTGCGCACCGCCTCCCTTGTGCTCCCCCCTCCCCTTCTTCCCTCTCATTCCCTCTCATTCCCTCATTCCCTCTCTCTTCCCTTCCCAGGTCTCCAAAGCCAAGCGCAACGGATGCGCGTCGAATCATAACCGAGCAGCAACAGTAGCGTTATTCATCGGCCATTTTCACCTCGCACCGGGGGTTATAAAACAAAAAACCTTCATGCATGGTGAATCAAGTACGGCGATCGGTGATAGGACAATGAAACGATGCAGACAGACCAAGGGTGGCGGTTTTTTTTTTTTTTTTTTTTCCCTTCCCTCTTCTCAGTTGTCCATCCGGCCAAAGGAAGATAGAACTGCTAGCAGGAGCAATACCGCGCAAAAAAAAGAAAAAAAGAAGGAAAGATAGAAAAAAAAGGGAAAAATGCCAGCCGTCGGAAGTGAATGGCCATGCAAGTTCCTAAAGAAAAGAAAGTAGGGTTTTTTTTTAGCTCTTGAGGCCTATGCCTTTTGTAGATTGTGTAGGATAGGTATTGTATCTCTCTTTTAAGGGAGTTATTGCTTGTTCAGTTCCCGAGTAAGTAATGCGCCAGAGACCTGACCACACTCGAAGAGAATTTCCTGGACAATGATCTTAACCCTGTCGTATATCATCATGCCCATGCGCTGGGCATTGTTCAGCATCCTTACAGCGTAAAACACAAAGAAGGGTCAAAGTCAAATATTTAGTTAAACAATTGAATCATCTGACAAATTTTCTTCTTCGTTTTCCGTCATTCCCGCTTGAACTAAACTAAACTTGATCCCAGGATTAGCTCCGTCGTGCTACTCCAATCAAGATGGATATTGGCCGCCGTTTTGGTTACCAGAATCCAAGGGCGGCGCGTGAGGAAACTAAACTCTCTCCAAGCCCAAGCCATGTTTTCCCATTTTTGCTTTGTTTCCTGTGAGCGTTTGGGAGCAAAAGAGCAGACGATCGCCTTGGCCCGTGTTGGTGTGTGTTATCAATTAACTATAACTAGTTATCAAGTGGGAATAAAAAAAAAAAAGAAAAAGCAAACGAAAGGCGAAGGCTTCCCCCGCCAGCCAGTTAAAGCGCGGTGTCCCCCTCCCTGTCTCGCGATGTCTTGGAGTAGTTAGTTATTATTCCTCCTATATTTCCAGTCCCAAGACGCCCGCGCATTCTTCGTCCTTCATCGCAACCCCCTC